TTTTTTGGTGTTGAGTTGCATGAGCATTTTATATATTTGGGATATTAATCCCTTATCTGATATATCATTATCAAATATCTTCTCCCATTCAGTAGGCTTTCAAGGAATTTTTAAATTTCTTCCTTGTTCTCATTGTTGACCCATTTAGTAGCGTGTTACTTAGCTCCCATGCATTTGAGTGTTTTTCAGTTTTCTTCTTGTAATTCATTTCTAGTTCCATACCAGAGAACATGCTTCCTACGATTTCAGTCTTCTTATATCTATGGAGAGTTGTTTGATGCCTATCCTGGAAAGGGTTCCATGTGCCCATGAAAAGAATGCATGTTCTTCTGCTTTGGGGTGATATGATCTAAAAATATCAATGAAAGACATTGAAGTCCATTGTTTCTTGGTTAATTTTCTGTCTGGATGATGTATTTCTTGATGTCAATTGCATGTTGTAGTCCCATACTATTACCGTCAATGTCTCCCTTTATGTCTCTCAATATTTTTTTAGTATTTAATTGCTCCTATGTGGGCCATGTAAATGATTACAAGAGTTACATCCTCCTGCTGGATTAATATTTTTATATTATGGCATGTTTTTCTTTGACTTTTGTTATATCTTTTGTTTTAAAGTTTATTTTGTGTGATATCAGTATTATTTCCCCAGCTTTTTTCTTCCACATTTTTATTTGCATGTAGTAACTTTTTCTATCCCTTTACTTTCAGTCCTTGTGTGTCTTTTGATATGGAGTGTCTCTTGTAGGCAGCATATGTATAGTTTTTGGTTTTTATTTTATCTATTCTGCCATGCCACTTTTTTTCTTGTTAATACAACTTTTAATAATCTGTTTGATCATAAAATGCTCACCATGAGGACTTGTTTGCATGGCCTTGTTAGCATGACTAAGGCATGGGGATCACATGCCACTCTCTAAGAGGGAGCGATCTTTGTCAGGGCAGTAAGGTCCCCAGACCCTCCTGTTAAACACAGGGTGCAGCTGAGATTACAGAAAAGAAACATTACAAGGGTCAGACCATGATGTGTCTCATTTGTAGTGGATGTATATTTACTTGGTGACTTTAAGAAACCAGATGGCAAATGTCGATCAAATAAAAAACTTTCAAAGCAAGTGAAGAGGAAACCTGTGGAAATGCATGCATTTGTTCTGGAGGCAGTCTCTTGAGCTTACTTACGTTTGCAATGATAAAACTCTTGTTCCCAGGAAGAAACTGCTGCTGAGATAAAGGCCATTACAATACAGTTTATAACCGATGCTGTTATTTGTAAGTGCTCTCTTGGGTCAAATATCAGTTGGTAAGAAATTTTCACTCAACACACTCCCTATAAAACCTTTACATCAGTTAATTCTGAGCTAAGAGAGAAGATGTCAAACGTGTCACTAGGTACTTCCAAAATGCTGGCACTAACTCGCTAACTTTCTTTCTCACCTTTTCTTTAGAGTGGCACAATCCCCATCCCATTACCGAAAGAGACAACAGAGGTGCAGAGAAGCTAAGTGTTTGTTATAAGGCCACACACTTAACAAGTAGACTGTGAGCTTAATTCCCTGTAGGATGATTACCAAGATCTAACGATCCTTATACCCTACTCTAAATGTGAAGACCCTGCATTGCTAGGAAACACCTGAATCTTCCCAACGTTCTAAGTTAGGCTACCGTATTTGCCGGCGTATAAGACGATTTTTTGGCCCTGAAAAATATGCCTCCAAGTGGGGGGTCGTCTTATATGCCAGGTACACTTCAGATAGACTGCCCATAGTGCTTGCCCCGTGCCATAGTGGCCTCCCGATGCCCGCCCACTTCATTCCACATACCGTTCAGGCATCAGCAGCGCTGCTGGGTGTATGCTCGGCTGTTATGCGATTTTGCTGTTATGCGATTTTACCACACTCGCAAAATCACACACAGCCGACCATACACCCAGTATGATAGCGCAAAATCACGAATCGCGATTTATGTATATGTTTGATTACATACAGCCTTGTGACAGTTTTCCTGCATGTCATAAGCATTTGAATATAAATATAAATGTTGAAATCAAGTCTGATATTGTTTTACCTTTTATTTGGTGTGTGGAAGGTGTGCGGAAGAGAGGGTAGTCTTATACGGCGAGTATATAACAAACTCTGTATTTTGAGTGGAAATGTTAGGGGGTCGTCTTATACGCCCAGTCGTCTTATACGCCGGCAAATACGGTAGTTGAAATCCAAATATCCAGAAGGCCTTTATTATTCACTTTCAGGTCAATTGCATGCATATCAAGGGGGAAAACAGGATGTGGCTATGTGCAAGAGGATGCAATTCCCAGGGCTGCCAGCAGAAGAAGGCAGAGTGTACACAGGGGTCTGCTCTTTCCACCTCACCTGCTCTTTTCCACAAGGTAATAAACAATTTTGTCTAGGACTGCCCACAGTTGTTTGATGGTGAATGGGGACAGGTTGGGTAGCTTCAACAGCTCTACACATTCTCTTGAGGCCCTGGACATGGTTTCACCTTTAAGGCCAGTAAAGGAGAAAAGATATTCGCAAAAGAGGAAATTCAGCAGGATCAATATGCAAATGAGGAAACATTCAACCTCTCTAGGAAATGAAGAAATGACAAATAAAACAACAAGAAACCATAGTGCTCCTGGCAAATGAATAAAGAGTTGAAAAAACTAACAATACTCAGGGATCTTGAAGATGTGGTAAAACACACATTTCTATATATTATTAATAGAAGAGACAGAATGTCATCCTGATATTTCTTTCTTTCAATACCTATCATCTATCTATCTATCTATCGTCTATCTCTCTATATATCTATCTAATCTATCTATCATCTCTCTATCTTTCAATCTATCTATCTACCTACCTACCTATCTATCTCTCAAATCTTTCTCCCTGCTAGAAAGGAGTGCAGGCCAAGAAGAGTCTCAGATTCTAGATTCTTCAGTGGCTCCCCACTGCCCTTCAAGGGCAAGCTTTATACCACTACATTCTGGGTTCTCCATGACCTCCCTTTTATTCACCTCTCCATCCATCCCCTTAGCACTCCTCTTTCTGACCCTATAATCAGGGCAGGTGGAGATATCTGCAGATCCCTGAGGCTGCTAGGCACTCATCTGAGAACTTTCCATGAGTTGCTGCTTCTTCCTGCTTTCTCTCCCTACCCCATTCCCAAACTGAGCTCTTTTCTTTCTGTAGGACTCATCAACGGCATCCCCTTTTACAGGAAGCCCTCTTGGACTGGGCAGAGCTGGGAGGGAGCGTCTCCTCTGTGACCCACCTCAGATTCTGCAGCATAACTTCCTGCTAATTTTTCTGCTTTCCCTACCACACTGCAATATTGACCACATGGACTAACTGATTCACTTATTATTTTTTCAAATAAAATACTTCATGAGGGCCTACCACATGGCAAGCATGGGCCCTCTTCATGGCTGTATCTCCAGGGCCTAGCACAGTGCCTGCTGTATTGGAGGGGCTCAGTATATACATTCATGGATGAGTGATTGCATGAATGAATAAATGGCTTTCCCTTACCATGTATCACTGGTCATCTCTAAGACTTCCATAGAGAAGTCACTCCCAATAATATGGAAGACCTATGCAAATCCTTCCCTTTAAGACATTATCAGTGACACCTAGGAATTAAGCAGATGGAGTGGAAGGCACCGAAAGGCCAGGTGGCTGAGGAGTCAGATACCAAATGGGTATTGGCAATGCCAAGTGTAAAGCTTTGCCCATCATGCAGTTCTGCCCAGCAGCCTTGAGTAGGCAGGGCCTGAAGTGAAGAGGAGGGCCAGTTCTCATCCAGTAAAGTGGGGTGGTCACATGTGGCAAAGGTGGCATGCAAGTCTCTCTCTTTTCCCTAGCCTGTAACAAATATGGCTAATCCATCTCTGCACTCTCTCCCTAAAAGCCCAATCACAGATCCAGAATCTTTCATAAAAGTGTCCTCCGTGCAGCCACAGGCATCAACTAAAGTAGAAACCTACCTGCCATCTCTGGCCAGGTTCCAGATCAGGAGTTTGGCTGTGCAGTTGGGACTCTAGGAGTGACTCTGGCAGGAGATGCTCATGTACACACACACTCAGGACATGAGCTTCCCTGCAACACATACAACTAGTTAAAAAGCCCAGAGAGTGAAGCCACCTCTCCTTTTTAGTGGTTGCCTCTATGTAAGGTTTTTGTTTGTTTGTTTTTTATGTGGGAGTCAAACCAGAAATTTTGCTGTTAAGAGCACACACTTTATCCACTGAGCCATCTTGTCAGCAACTCAGCTCAAGGTGCCGTGTTAAGTCCCAGCCATGGGTGGACATAGCCCACTATCAAACAGGCAATCTTGTCATTAGGGGCAGATGCTCTCATTAGCTGAGCCACTGTGCCACCTGTGGGCAGCTCAGCAGAAGCTCAGCTCGGGCACAGCTCGGGCGAAGCTCATTAGCCCATATAAGTATCAAACCAGCGACCCTGTTGCTCAGAGCTTGTGCTCTTAAGAAAACTCTTAACCAACGGAGCCACTCAGGCAGCCCGCCTCTATGTGAGTTTTAACTGGAGGCACATGTGGACAGCCACAATATTGGTTCTATTAAACTTTGGTTTTCCTACATTTAGGGCACGGCTTGGCTCATAGGAGGCACTTACCCAGGTGATTGTTTCTTTGGTATTTACCAGGTGCTATGCTCTCTCAGATGCTGGGGACATAATGGGGAATAACACAGCAGATGTATTCACCTGTTCTTATGAAAATCAGTGTCCACAAAGGGAAAGTGAAAACAATCAAGGAAACAGTAAACAAACAAATGAGTAATTACACTTGGTGTTAACAGTTGGAAAAAAGAAGGGTGACATGAAAGAGAACTGGGGTGAGGCTTAAATTTACACCCAGCTAGGGGAAGACCCACATGACCACAAAAACCAGCCATGGAAGATGAGTGGTATGAATCAGAAGCAGGGTACAGCATGTGCAAAGGCCTGGGATAGAAAAGAGTCTGGCAGTTCTGAGGAGCAAAAGGAGAGTGGAGAGTTCTGGGAGGCACAATTCTTGAACAGCCCAGGGAGGAGAATGAACTGTCATCTAGGGGGCTGTGCTCTGCACTTACGTGCTCTCAGCCAGCTGCTCCAGGTGAAAGACTTTGTGGCTCAGGTTCTTGGCCAGCAGAAAGCTCTCACCCAACTTCATGAGGAGAGCCGTGATCTTGTTGCTGTGCAGGAAGCCATCTGCCTGCCGACCATCACAGACCATGCAGGACACAGGCCTCCAATGTGGCTGTGGGGACACAAGTGTCACCTGGCCCTGCTCTGACCATTCTCCCTGGTACCCAGCTCGGCTATAGATTCAGTCACACAGAGGTGCTTTAGAGAACGGGAATCTCCCAGTATCACAAATTTGTGACAGCGTCATAGGGAAAAGCATGTCATAGGGGAAATGCTTCTCAAACTTTCACCCCCTTTAAAGTGAGCAATAGAGCTTATTGGTTTACCTACACTCGCTGCCCAAAGTAAGACTGCCTTTGGTCACATCTCTCCCAGCTCCTACCCTGCTGTGTGACTTGGGCAATTACTTCCCCTTCCTGAGCCTCACTTTCCTCTGAATAAAATGGGGACAGTATGAACATTAACCTCATGTGATTGCTGTTCCAATGAGCTGGAAATAATTCATGGAAAGCACTTCGCACACAGCTGGGTGCACAGTGAGTGCTTTATGTGTGTTACCCATTCTTCCTGTTAATGGTGAGGGGAGACTAGACAACAGGACTGTTGAGCGTTAACAAGGTTAAAGGATCATATCAGCATCATCATTATTCTGATTCCAAAAACAGCTGAAGTTAGAGATCTCATTCAAGCTCCACCACAGCAAGGGAAGAAAAGAAAATTATCTCCATTTTTCAGACATGGAAACATGAGGCTGAAAATGTAAACTAACTTATCCAGGACCCCCAAGCCATTGAGTAATGGAGTCAGGATTCAAACCCAGGTCTGAGCCCAAGGTGTGCTCACAATTGTGCCTTCATGAAGGACCTTTGAAGGGAGGGTGATTCAGTCACTGTTTCCCCATTTTTGTGTTTGTTCTGGAGTCCCTGACCAGCTCTGGGTTCTAATCTAGGCTCTGCCACCAACTTGCTGTGTGACTTCAGGCAAATCACTTTCCCTCAATGGAACTCAATGTTTCCTTCTGGAAATGGGCCCTGTGCAGGCCATTCCAACATTTTCTATTTTAGTGCTGGTACTTTCAACAGCTCTGTATTAAGTACCTTCTTACCTCCTGTGTTACACAGAAGACTGGCAGCTGACTCTGGTGCAATAAGAACACAGTCAATGTTGATGAGTATATAATAAGAGCTACTCCTTCTTGAGTACCTGGAGTGTGTTAGTCCTGTGTTAAAGATTTACCTCACCTAATCCTTGTTACAAAACCCAGGGAGTGCTTTAGTTATTCTCATCTCACAGAAGAGTACTCCAGCACTCCCAGGATCAATAGCCCAGCCAAAGTTATGTTACTGTATGTCCCTATGTATAAGACGCACCCTTTCTTGAAAAATTTTGGGTCTAAAAACTGGGTGTGTCTTAGACAGTGGTTGTAGATCGTTGTCAAGTCATTTAAGAAGTATGGCATTTCAGATGCCATAGATGGAACTGAAGATGAGGCAATATATGAAGACAGTGATTTGTCATCAGACACAGATGAGGACAAGCTAATGATTGGGAGTTTTGACAGTGATGAGGAGTTGTATAATTTTATGATGAATAAAACTTGAGTTCAATAACTTTATGGAATACATTTTTTTTCAAATTTCGGACATCACAATTAAGGTGTGTCTTATATATGGAGAAATATGTGCAAGAAGAAACACTCAGAAGTTTGGGTTTAATTGCATGTCTTGCTGTTTTATTAGCAATAGCTTGGTTTTGAAAGAATATCCACATGTTGCCTAATCTGTCTATGGATTTAAATTATTCTGGGTGGGCATCTTTTATTTTTTTGTTTATTTTTAAGATTTTATTGGGGAATTGGGGGAGGGGAACAGACAAGTTGCTGTCCTTTTGTTCTTCAGTCTAGTTGTGGAGAATGTCACTTCACTGGCCCATGTTGGTATTATCATTGCGCTCTTCCCGGCTGAGGCAGATCGGTCACCAGCCATTGAATGGCCACTCCCGGCAGCTCTTGGCAGCCCACTCTGGCTGCAGGCTGCTCATGGAAGCTTATAGGAACCCACTGCAGCTCCACTGCAGCCTATGCCATCACCAGCTTAAATGCAAGTTTGCCTGACTTCAGGGGCTGAGCTCCATCTATAACATGCTGTTAAGTCCAGATGGTCTCAGAGAATTTGTCCATCCCTCTCCCTTCTCTAGGGACCTACTCCTCTTCTTCCTTTGCTTTCCTGGGGCA